GCCCCCCCAGCCACGTCCCCTGTCCCCATGGGTGACCCCTGGCCACGTCCCCTGTCCCCATGGGTGACAACTGGCTGTGTCCCCTGTCCCTATATGTAACCCCCGCATTGCTGTCCCCATCGGTGACACCCAGCCTTGTCCCCAAGGGTCCCTCCATGTCATGTACCTATCCCCATGGGTGACCCCCAGCCATGTCCCCACATCCCCAGGGTGCCCTGCCCATGCCCCCCTGCACCCACAGGGCATCCCCAGACTGGGACCCCCATCCCCTCCCGTCCTCCCCCATGTCCCCTCACCGGTGCCAGGTGTCACCGTGTCCCCCCCCAGGGCCTGACCAACGCACGGGCGGCCGAGATCCTGGTGCAGGACGGTCCCAACGCGCTGACGCCCCCCCCCACCACCCCCGAGTGGGTCAAGTTCTGCCGCCAACTTTTCGGGGGCTTCTCCATCCTCCTCTGGATCGGGGCCATCCTCTGCTTCCTGGCCTACGGCATCCAGGCTGCCATGGAGGATGAGCCCTCCAACGACAACGTGAGGGGGGACATGGGGGTCAGGGGGACATGGGCATCATGGGGATGTGGACATTGTAGAGACATGGGTATCGTGGGGACATGGACGCTGAGGGGGGACATGGGTGTCATGGGGACACGAGTGTCATTGGGACATGGCTCTCATGGGCATTGGGGGGCACAGGCTTTACGGGGACATGGGCATCATAGGGATATTGGCACTGGGGGGACATGAGTGTCGTGGGGACATGGACATGGGGGGGACATGGGGGTCATGGGGACATAGACGTCATGGGGACATGGGCATCAGGGGTCATAGATGTTATGGGGACATGAGTGTCATTGGGTCATGGCTGTCATGGGCATTGGGGGGCACAGGCATCATAGGGACACAGGCATCATGGGGACATGGCTGTCAGGGGGACACAGGCATTGGGGGGACATGAGCATCAGGAGGACACGGGTGTCATGGGGACATGGACGTCATGGGGACACGAGCATTGGGGGGACATGAACCTCATGGGGGCATGGGCATCGAGGGGACACAGAATTGTGGGGGACACGGGCATCATTGGTGTTATGGGGAAACCGGCGTTGGGGGACATGGGCGTCATGGGGACACAGATGTCCTGGGGACATGGGTGTTTTGGGGACATGGGTGTCATGGGGACACGGACATGGGGGGTGCTCAAGCACTGCAGGGGAGGTTGGTGTGTTCAAATGGCCTGGGTCTCCCCTCCACATCCCCTGCACTGGGGGT